ATATTCAAAATGCTGTGTAGATATATACTGTATTTTTCGAACTATAAGGTGCACCGGATTATAAGGCGCATTAAACAAAATAAAGGGACGACACTTGAGACTGATCCCTTAGCCCAGGCATTCACGATCCATTGACAGATTGTGGTGCCTCCCTGTCTTGGTGAATGTGTATTATGAATGTGGATGTGGGTGGATAATTTAAGTTTGGATTTTTATTTCCAACGAGGAGAACTCGAATGTACATTGAGTAATAATCTGTTTGATGCAGCTTTGTGCACATTTGTTTACATTTTACAGAAATGAAACTTAAAACCACATGACTAATTTGCATAAACTATCAGAGCTGAAAAAATCCAGCTTTCTCCTTGATGCAGTCAGTTTCTGTTGGACTAAAGGACACGATTCAGTGAAATATATGTGTTCTCTCTATGACAGAGGATATGCTGCTGATGGTGAGTCTGTTCTGTATATAAGGGCTTTGTGACTCAGGGTGTTTTCTTTTCTGTGGGAGACAGTCCAAATGGCTCTTTTGAGTATTTAAGGTTGCCGACCCCCGGTATACACAAACGCCATTTTTAAATCCTAGCCTCCTAGCGTTGTGGTGGTGAATTACTTTGAGGTGCACAGACCTCGACACAGACCCATAAATAAAAAACAACAGCGACGAGGCAACGGCGGCAGTGTGCATTCAGTCAATGCAGAACTATACTTTGCCCTTTACTCTGTGAGACTCGTGACTACAGTAGGCGTAATGCTAAGGCAGTCCATCAAGCGGTGCAGCTTCGTAGTTTACCTAAGTCGCACTAAAACATTTAGATAGATTTTTGAGCGCTGTGTACCACATAAAATCAGTTCTAGGTTGGTAAGCACATCTGGAATTAATACATTAGGCGCACCAGATTGTAAGGCGCACTGTCGATTTTTGAGAAAATGAAAGGATTTTAAGTGCGCCTTATAGTCTGAAAAATACGGTATATATTTTTATTACAAAGTACTATTACAACAGAACTAATGCATGAAAAACAAAATACATTTACATTTTAGAATTGTTTGTTTCAGATGGAGGCAAATATTAGTCCATAAGTGAAAGAACGAAATCTCAATAATTATGTAAAAGTTTAACAACATAATTCACTTTTGGTTTTTTACCATTCCACTTTTATTTTTTTAAACTTTCAGCCAGTTTTAGTTGTTTAAAAGGTCAATTTTGACAGTTTAAAGGCAATTTAAAGCATTTTGACCTGTCCTCCCGCTAAATGTTACATCATATTTGACAGCTACTGTGGCTTCATTGACCCAAGTCCTTAACAGCAAACCAGTTTTGCAAGGAAAATTACTCAGGCATCTTGTTTTAGCAATTTTTAGTCACGCATGAGAATTTCACAACTCCTCTTCGTTGCTATAAACTGTTTCATTGATTACAGATTTTACAGATTATTGTTTTATAGATCGCATTTTATAGAACACATTTGGTGAGGGAAAATAAATGATTGATGTAAACCGTGCGGTGCAGAAAGTATATGCTCTTTGGACTAACGCAGGATCAGCTGACATTAAGCTGTTAAATTTTAGGATGATGGAGAGCTGACACAACTTCCTGCTATGCTATGTTTTCTTTTTGCTTTTTGTACATCTTTCAACAGCATTTTAAAGGAATGAGTGAGAAGACGACTGACATGTTTGAGTGTTTCAAAATCCCATGTCGTCATAGAGCGAGAGCCAGCCTGAAACAGTGAAGTAAGACGTGGAGTTCACAAGATTAACAGCAAAAATGGTCTCTAAATTAAAGATTACAATAATGTAATGATACAGTAAAAGGATAGGATATTGAGTCAGCAGTAAGTACTTCAGGCTGAATTTTATATTGGATTAACTGCAAAAAAATAACAAACTCATAGTCAAATTGAATGACTGTAAAAACAATTGATAACAGCAAAATAACAAAATAGCAAGGTTTATTAGCTCTTATGTTTAAAGGTACTAGGGCTGGGTATCATTAAGAAGTTGCCGATACGATACATAGGCCACGATATGATACATACCTCGTTACAGCGCACTTTTGATTCTATACGATATATTTCAAATTGATTCGATACAGTTCAATAAAAAAATAAAGGCTAGATGATGACTGTGATACTAAAAGTCTTTGTTAAACCATTTCTTGTGCAAAGTCCATCTGTAACACAAACATTTAAATCATCAAACCGTGAAAATGTCAAATGTGTCGCATAAAAGAATTTCCTTCCTCTAAACAAGCAAAAATATGTAGCTCTGTAACAAAAAAAGTTTGTGAAATATACCAAAAAATACTCTTGGTGATATATCGATACACCAGCTCACAATATCGATACTGTTCCTTCCTTCCTCTAAACAAGCAAAAATATGTAGCTTTGTAACAAAAAAAGTTAGTGAAATATACCAAAAACTATTCTGGTGTATATATCAATACACCAGCTCACAATATCGATACTGTATCATCACATTAAACAATACAATATATTGATATTTTGATATTTTTGCAAACCCCTAAAAGGTACACCATGTAACTTTTCTGGTAGGGAATCCGCTGTTTGTGATGTTATTGCTTTGTCAGGAATTTTCCACGGTAAAGCACCAGACTATTCTATCTTCTAATTGAAATGTTTTAATTAGGGATGTAACAATAATCGAAATATCGTGATATCGTATCGTCAAAAGTCTCACAATAATATTATGAGCTGTCACAATATATCAGATCACAAGTTCCTTTCTTTAAATGCGTGGTTTTATAGTAGCAGCAGCTTATAAACATCGGGAACTCCATATGCCATGATTCATTTCAGTGCAAACAATGTGAAGAAATATGTTTTTTACTTGAATTCTTCGGATTATGATGGAAATAATTCACACCAAAATCTTGTCAAGGTATTTTAAAAGCAAAAAAGTGTCCAATCTACAATTATATTAACCTTTTCAAAATATCGCAATAAATATCGTACCATGACATGCATCTTGTGATAATATTGTACCGAGAGATTTGGATATCGTTACATCCCTAGTTTTAATTGCTCAAAAATACCCTTGAAAAACTAATTCTTACTGAGAGTGGAGTTGCAGGTCTCCATGCAGAAAAGATATGTTTAATGCCACACTGTAAAACATTCCAGTCTAAGAAATAACATTTGCACAGACAAGCTGGTAATGGATCCTCCAGCAGAAATGCTACAGCGCTTTTTGAAGTTAATTCAACTTGTGAGGCTTGTGTTTTATGTCTACAGTGAAATGTACTTACGGAAGTTACTGTACGAGACACATAAAGTACACTATTTACATTTCTGTCTGTGATGTTTAGTCTGGATGAAGCCAGAGTCACAGAGACATTTTCTTTCTCTCCAGCCGCTTGTCTCAAATACTCTATACTGTAAAAACCTAATGTCCCACAGTATGGCATAAACACATTTATCTCCATGGAGACAAACATAGATCTGTGAACACTCCCACAGTAACGCATGTTTTCCAAGATATCTGAATTAAGAGAAACATTTCAAACAATAAAAAATATAATAGTTAGACACTGGTATATTTTAACATTTCTTCTTTATAGTCTTACTTGTACATTTGGATGGAAATGTGGCGTGCTACTGCCATCTTTTGGTTGATTTTGTATCTTTACTCTGGTCACTGGTCACTAGTCTCCACAGCAGTGCGCTACACTTGGCCTGTGGCGCTCTCTGGTGGACAATCTATAAACTGCAAGTCCAAGTGCGTGAAAAAAGGCAAAATGATGTACGGCAGCAGAGGGCCAGAAATAGCTTACAGTATTCAGCGTTGTGCGTCAATGGAGTGACGCCTCTAACAGCTTCCACGTGTGGTCAGTGTGGAAACGGCGATAATTAGATCACAACACTCAGCTCAGAAAGAAATGATGTTTTGATTTTGACGTTTTGCTCTTTTTGTGATTTATGACAGATCGGATAAAAACAAGAACTGCTCCGAGACTAAATCTGAAACCTCATCTGAACCAAGATCACTTTATGTCTAGAGATAAGCCTCCCTACCTGCACAAAAACTGCACAGAACACAACTTAGAACTTGCACTTACACATTCTTAAATGGTCCACCCAGTGTTATCTGCAACACTCTGAGGACTATTCCCTGTAATTAAACGATATTATATTACATTTTGTGTTAAATTGTCCTCATTTCTCATCATTCTGAAACTTGTGGGTATCCTTTTTTTCCTATTGTGCCATGGTAGACCTACTTTTACAAGTTTAGTGTCGAACTACAGCTATAAAGCTTCATTGAGGTCCACTTTTAAACTGATAATTAAAGTAATCTATGAGTAAAAAGATAGTAAAGATAGTAAAGCAGTAGACTATTTTAAAAGTAGCCCAACAAACATCAAAATATAGCAGGCTTAAATTTTTTGAGAGCTGAGTTTATTATTTAATTATTGTTGGCTGTAACATTTTGATTTGTATGCTTTAATTGTAATAATAAAAACAGTTTTATCTGACAATATCAATACCTACTGCTATAGGTATTGTTATTGTCAGATAAAGCTGTAATACCAATACCTATAGCAGTAAGCCTATAAACTTTGCCTAATTTGACAGAAATAAAGATCTGCTTGTAGTTTTCTGCTGCAACGTGCTTCATCAAAAGATAAAGCTGATATACTTTAAATCGTTAATCACTATGGCAACACAGTCTTATTTTTTCATCATTCTGAAGCCCATGTATAGTAAACAGTGGTGTGATTCAAATAGGTCAAGTGGAAAAACAATCCATAACCTAATTAAAATCTAAAATCCAATAAAATGAAAATCGATCACGTGATGACATTTTAACTTTGGCACTTTAATAATCGTGCAGTTATGGGTAGCCTTTTTGAAACACTGAAACATTTCGCTCACTGCTGACATTATCCCTGAGTTTTGCTGCAGATTTTGAGTGAGTTGAGTGTTGGGAGTCTCTTGGGGAGGGTGGAGCGCTCTGTCTGCACTGTGTGACTGTAGGCTACATCACTAGTGCTTCTGCCTCGGCTCCAAAATGCGCTCTCCTCCGCCTTGTCACTATCACCACCACCATCATCACCACCACCACCACCATCGTCTCCTGCAGCCTCAGTAGCACCGGGCTGCAGCATCAGTGGAGTGGACCGTCGCCGGATAACATGCGCGCATCCCCCAAATCACCAACTCGCCACAGCAGCATGGTCCTCTATGTAACCAGACGCTCCAAAACTCTCTCTCTTCGCTAATACGACAACACCACCTGTCCACACCTTCACAAACAAGGTAAGCGCTTTTTTTCAAATCAATAGACGTGACGGTTTCTTGGCTGTGGGACGCGAGGTGTTACAAATTGGGGGAAAAAAACAAAAAAGGCACCACATACACACACGAAGCGGGAGTTTCCTGGAGAGTTGGCAGCGCGAGGAAGCGTGGATGGCTTTAGGCAACAAAACAACATCACACAAGCTGGATGGATAGACGTACAATACAGTAATTACCCTGCTCCTCCCAAGGCGAAATCGTATACATTTCTTGTCAAGCGTTGGCGTTAATGTTTAGCCGCGTTTCCGGTCAAGACTTTTGGGAATACCTTCAGTTTAGCGGTGACAGTGACGCGCGCGTATGTCCCAATTGGCATGGCACGTCCTTTTTATCAATTAGGGTTAATTAGCGAGTCAATTAAGTGCGTCTGGGGGTTTGTTAAAAGGTAAATGTGCATGTGAGATGTGTGTAGGTGGTTGGGCAACACACTGCGCCAAGTTGGATTCGTAGTTCTCTATAAAAAACTGTGCGTAATGCTGATCCAAAAGACCTCTCCAAAGTTGAACTCTTGGCACGGACTGCATGGATGCCCTCTCAATGTTCTTCCCACCACTCCAAACTTCTCCTAACCTCTTCTGGCGACACAAAGTGGACCTAATCTAGCGCCAATTGGGGCTGTTGTTGCGTAACTTTAAAACTCAAGTACCATCCTGAGCGCGTGGGCGGAGATGTGAAGTTCCCAGTCCCACTTCCTCGCTGTTGTTTTGCTCATTAAATCTGAGTGGCGCATTAGTGGCGTCTTTTTTTTTTTCCACTTTATACTTTTGAGTGACGAGTTGCTTAATGATTAATTTGGATACAAGTTTTATTATGACAACGTGTGGACCGTAACTTCATTAACTACGCATGGATAAATAAGTTGCGCACACAATTCATCAACTTTATGTTGGGCTATATGCGTTTTAAGGACTTTTGCGCATTACAAAGACATGATATTTTGTTTTAAATATGACAACGATCAGAATTTTCACTTTTCTGAAACCCTTTAATGTTTTTACTCACATATAAACACTTTGGAGTCAAATAAGAAAAGTCTAAACCCACTTAGATCATCTTTGGTAAATTTAAAATACGCTGTTGTCAAGCTTGCATAATGGAAGGAATAGCTAGATTAAGTATCGACCTAAAATTCGCATAAAAAACTCAAATATCTTACATAATAATTAATAATAGTGTTATTTTATACTTTTTCCCAGTGTAATTCAAACTAATAGAAATCTGACCTCTTTGTGACCCACTTTTTGGTCCCTGTCCATCAGTTCGGAAACAGCTGACACAGCCGTTACCGTGGAAACAGTCATTTAAAGTAATTTGCATACACCTTTACTGTGTTTCTATGGTAACAGACTTTTTTTTTTGGAGGCTGTAGTTTTTTACCAATGTTTTCATGGCAACAAGAGAGCGAGCACAGACAGGATTATATTCGCAGATATGAGATAGAAATTAAGTTTTCTTTCAGTGGGTTTAAAGCTGATGTTACTGTTATAACTTGCAGTACTTCTAATGGGGTGGGAGCAATATGTAAAAAGTTCAGCGTATTCGCATATTTACTCTTATTAGTAAAGACGACAAGTGTGACTAATGTACAATGACATGTGCTCTTTGCTGTGATTAAAATAAGTTGTCACGAACACATTTCCATTAATAAACAGGAAATGAACTCTGCTGCAGTTGTTAATATTATGTTGTGGAGGTAAAGACTGATAGACGTGATGGAGTTTGAGAGGCTGAGGTGCCTGCTGGTTCTGCTGCTTCGGCAGACACAGAGCAAAGGAAAGTAAAGGCGAGATGATGGAAGGGAGAGAGAATGTATTCACCGTTAAAAAACAATATCTAGCTACATTAAAATTATTTAAATTAAGAACATTTGACTTTATTTGAGTCAATTCAACTTGACAATAAAATGATCTACCAATGGAATAAGTGTGTTTTTCTAAATTCAAGCAACGTTTATAGTATTTTGTTTCTTATTTTAAGTGCAAAAAGTTGTTGTTTTTCTTAATTTAAGTGTAGTTTTTGTGGAGCAAGATGTATTTTCATATTTTAAGTACAAAAAGTCTAGATAATTTTACTTGTCAAGTGACATTTCCTCAAATCATGATGAAACTTTCTTAATTCACGTCATCTTAACTTGGCTAGATTTTGATTTTTGCAATGTTTATATGAATATCTTGAGAAGTGATTGGTTAAGAGACTGTGACTGACTGACAGCAACACTTGAATAGGCAAAGAAAAGACATTGCCAGGTTGAATTTTCAAATTTACTCAAATCATGATGAAACTTTCTTAATTCAAGTCATCTTAACTTGTCTATTTTTAGATTTTTGCAGCGTTTATATGAATATCTTGAGAAATGATTGGTTAAGAGACTGTGATTGACTGACAGCAACACTTGAATGGGCAAAGAAAAGACATTACCTGGTTGAATTTTCATTTTCTTTATGGCACTTTTTGTTTCCTTGTCCTTGGAGATGTTATTGCTTTGCCTGGAATGTTCCACAGTACGCCACATCAACGTTTCTATCTTGCCGTGAGTGCGACTGTAACTTGGCTTGGCGTCATCACTTGCTTGTCTCCATCTCCAGATAGATTTGTTTAATGCCATACTGTGGAATATTCTCAGCAAAACAACATCACCTCCATGCAGAAAAACATTAAGCAGGTGCCTGACCCTCCACCAGAAAAGTTACATAGCGCCGCTTTAAATGCCAACTTTACATAATAAAACGAAACGAAACAAACACGCCGAAATCAAAAGAACAGCTTTTCCCAGCTTGTAAAATGTCACAATCACTCATCTCGATGTGTTGCTTGGTTGCAGTATTGATGCATATTTGAGCTGGTTTAAATCTAGACTGGGCACTGATTGCTTGTGCGTGTTCTACTTCTACCTACATGAAATCTGTGCACGAAGCAAAGAGTATGTATGTAGAGGGTCTATATTTGAGACATGTGTGGGGGGAGCAGTCTGTCCCTCGGTGCGGGGGAGGGAGGGGTGAGAACACAGGGGTCCAAACGTGATGACGATGTGATCTACTTTCTTGCTTTTATTGTATTATGTGTTTAATGTATTCCTGATGTGAGAGGGGGCGCCGCTCTACAGATGTGAACACCTCCTGCTTGTTGATTTGGTGTTGATTTCTGTTAATAATATAAGAATTTGTTTGTTCTAGTCCAGGGGTGGGCAAACTACGGCCCGCGGGCTCACCACACTTGAATAATAGTAATAATACTATTAATTTTCAGTGTTTTAAAAGTCATTTCTATAAATAGTAAACACCATGGGACTTGAAAGACAGATATCTTTTGTTGTAATGCTCTGTAATTATTTTAAATTATGGGATATTTCAATAAAGCAGGATTATTTTTGGGGTTGTTTTTCTCTCTTATGAGGTAGATTACCAAAAACTCCATCTATCTGCTCCTGGTCCGGCTCTTCCATCAAATTTTAGAACCCTTTATAGCCCACGAGTCAAAAAGTTTGCCCACCCCTGTTCTAGTCTCTTCTTGGAAAACAAATCTGCATGCAAAAAAAAAAAAAAAATCACACTTCACCAAATCCTATATTCCTATAAAAATCTTATGTTGAATTCTACTGTTGCGGTACTAGGTTTAGTATTTCTTAGTGCTGTGGACTAATAAATTCTTGGTTAACTAAAGAAATATCCTGCTGATTCATTAGTCGACTAAAAGGGGGCATGGAAAAAGCTTTCAAAACTATTACGCATCTCTCTGTACCTGACCCAAAATGCACTCACAAGACTACACCTGCACGGGTGTTCATCTAAAAACAACAATTTCTGCAGAAAAAGTACTAGGAGAAATATAAAAGACAGATTAAACTTGTAATTTATGAATTTGATCTGCCTTTTTAAATACCAAAAAATATCAAATTGTCAGCCAACCAACTTACTCTCCTTTCTGATGTTGTCTCAAATAAATCCTTATAATCTAAATCAAACACAACACAAATTTTGGTATGATATATTACTGAAAAAATACACACGAGAAACGATCATACTGAAACTAACTCCCATGACACTATTCTGAATGTACATGAGGTGCAATATAAACTAAAACTAAAGTGTTATTCTGCCTTTTTGTATCTACAATGAGTGATTTATTCAACCCTCTACAGCTCAAATCTTATCGCAGTGCATAAAAAATGACAAAATATGCTCCAAATGCAAATAAATTGTACACACGATAAATATTGAATCCCCAAAAATATCAGCTCTAAGTCAATTAAGACAGCACTGATTGATTCATCGGCTAAATGACTAAAGATAACAGCTTTAGTGTTTCAGAATGCAAGAAATAATCAGCTCTCATCCCTTTCATAGCCTTGATTAAAGAGTTGAAGCATGTGAGTGAACTGCTTTTGTTCCTCCTCCTCTGCTGCTCTGTAATAATGCAGCCTCTGTCCTCTTGTGGTCACTGTAACACAATCTACAGCTCCATCAAACACATCAGTCACTGCCATCTTCAGAGCACTGCCAACAGGGAGGAAAACACTTTTACATCTGTAGAGTCAGCGCAACAATGAGCAATCCTTAAACGGGACACGCTGTATTATGTAAAATTCACTCTTGTGAGCTTTAAACCATGTTATAATGTTGGTACCTTGACAAAAACATCCCAGGAGTTATATTTTGTTTCATTCACACATGTTTGAGTAATCTTTTATTATTAATCTGTCTACATCTTCAAAGCTCAAAATGCCCTGTTCCACCTTGTGATGTCATGCAGAGGTAGTTTTCAAGTTAACAGCTACCATTTATCGTCCTTATTTACCCGGAACAGTCCCAGTCTTGAGCCCCGTGTCCCCTGTCCCACCAGATTTATCCAAAACCAGTGATTTGTCCCAGTTTTATACAAGAAATGTCCC